TCACCCGACCCTGAGCCCGCGAGGACCAAGATCTGGCCCTCGTCCTCGTCGCACCCTGCTCCGGGCCTCCCCCTACCTTGCACTCTGTAAAAATTTACAGCCTTGGATACCCTATGGGGGTCGCTATGAGTCAGAATCGACTTAATGGCAGTGCATTGGAATCTTTATGGGAGAAGATTGGCAGGTCTTTTCTCCTGCTGAGCAGAGCTGCTGCTGGGTTAAACCTGACTTAGCAGCCGAGCCCTTATCCACTGTGCAGCCAAGGTTCCTTATTTACCTGAATATATATATATATATCCGTATGTATGTATACACTGTATACCAGACATACCCATACACACATATATACCTCTAATATATGTTGTTGTTAGGTGCTGTCAAGTTGGCTTGGACTCATAGTGACCTTAAATACCACAGAAGAAAATAAACAATGCCAGGTCCTCCTCCATCTCACAATCATTACTGTTATGCATGAGCTCATTGCTGCAGCCACGATGTCAATCCGTCTCCATGAAGGTCTGCCTCTTTTTCGCTAGCCCTCTCCAAGCATGATGATGTATGGTATGTATTTATTATGTAGGTAACATATAACAGATAAGCATATTTATTTTTGGCTAAATCTGGCACCGATCTGTGTATCACCCGTGTCTCACGCTTCGCTCCTACACGGATCACGTTGGAAACGAATTCCATGCTGACTCTGCAGATGGCCCTTGAGGATCGCGCGCAGCAGCCTGTTGACGCCAGTGGGAAACGAACACCTGGGCCGGCGCCTGGTTTCCCCAGCCTCGCCATCGCCGCCCGTGTCTGCGCTGTCTTCTGGCCCACTTATAGGCCCTAATCCTCTTCCACCTACAAGGCCTTCTTCCATCGAACAGCCCTCCTCCCCCACACCCTCATCCACGTCGTGCTGCGTTGCTTAGCCCCATCGCCGCCTACGCAGCCCACCAGGTCGCGCGGACCCTAACACCTCTCACCCGACCCTGAGCCCACGAGAACCGAGACCCAACCCCGGTCCTCGTCGACCCCGCTCTGGGCCTCCCCCTACCTTGGACTCCCGGAAACCCTCCCCAACGAACGAGCCGCTAGGGGTATGAATGCGTGAG